ATCAGAACAATAAAGGGAGCAGGATTTCCCTGGCAACACCACATTTCATATGTTGAAATGACAAGTGTTGGCAGACCTCCAGCTGTACTGCAGCAATGCTTTGACAGTGATACTGTTGCAGTGTGTAAATAAAATTGGTTTGAAAGTGAAGTAATCTATTGTTAAACAAGAAAAATTAAAAACTGGGAAATATAAACAAAACAGTTCGTCTTTTTCTAAGCATGATGAATTTGACATTGTGACAGGTTGACTCATTATTAGAGAAAGGCACTAAAATCGTTAACCTTATTAAGCACAGTCTAGTTTTCAGTGACTTTTGTATGACTGCAGTCGCATCCTCCAAGACACTGTTCTCCTCTTGCCTACTGTTCCTTGCAGTCTGTCCCAGAACAGCTCCTTTCTCTCAGGAGATCACAAGAGCTAAATCCCTTTTTGTAGCTCCAAGGCCCACATCATTCGAAGGTCAAGGCCAAGTTTCTTTTTTCCCCTGACAAGCTCACAGTCTTTGCAGTCCTTCTGGTTGCTGAGGGCCTATCTCCATTGCAGTGGCAATTGATAGTACCCTGCAGTGGGCATATCCAAGGTAGCTTTAATCCAAGTGATTCAGACAGCAGCACTGACAGCAGAGCCCTGGGACTTCAGTTCTGTTGCTCACCCTGGGGACTTACCTGTGAGTGAGATGACTGATGCCCAGGCTGTTTCATCCTTGCTGCTGTGTCCCCAGTTAGCTTGTTAGGTTTCTAATGCTGTCCCTTCATACACCATGCCCCTTCTTGCTGGAGCTTAGCCTAACTGCACAGATGATGGTTTAGCAGGAAGGCTTGTCTTCTTTCTTAGCACTCCCCATGTCAGAGTTATTACCTCCAAAGCAAGATAGTATCTTCATATCATAATGTATATGACAGAAACTGTTCAGGTATTTTTAAAAAGATTTAATTGTATTCCAGTTAAGAACACTTGTTAAGTAAACCAAATAATAAAGCCAAGGTAAAGCTGTAGAGCTCGTATGTAAGAATATGTGCATGGATACAGTATTTGCTCCCAGTAGATAAGAGTAAAGCATCAGAGGAAGAGGCTCTTTATCCAACAGACAGACCACCATCCATAAGTTGACCGAGCAGTGCTGGACATTTTGTAATGTGCCTGGCTGCTGCATTGCTGAAATAAACACAGAAGATATGAGTGGTTTAAGTGTGTTCACATCACGATTGTGAAACATAAAATAATCACCTACCATTGTTATTATAATCTTGCATTTTTCTTGGCTATAGATATAATAATGTGTTTTTTTTCAAAGGTGGTCCAAGAGGAAATCGCAATTCCTTCAAGTTTTGTGAAGCTGAGTTATCTCAGCAGTCGGACACCAGGGTATAAAACTTTGCTGCGCATTATTTTGACGCACACAACCATCCCTTCTGGAATGACAAAAGTTCACCTGATAGTTGCTGTTGAAGGACGTCTGCTTCAGAAATGGTTTCCTGCTGCAGCCAATTTGGTATACACGTTTGCCTGGAATAAGACAGATATATATGGACAGAAAGTTTCTGGTCTGGCCGAGGCAATGGGTATGTAGAATCACCTTGATGTAAGCAGAAGCATTCACACACATCAAACCAGGATAATGCAGCAAATAAATTTTGTTGCTGCTCTTACATTCTTTGAAATCAAATGCCTCTTTAGCTACTAAAGTGACGTGTGTGATTTCCGAAGAACATTTATTTTCTTGTTCTTCCAATGTCATCTTTCTAATTTAATCAATTTGAAAATCCCCTTTTCCCTCAGAGAATGGTTATGTACTAACGGCATTATATTCAGCTGTCTTTGTTTTTGAATGTTACTTTGAATATGACCTTTGGTGTGTCATTGTTTTTGTCATTTTTGGGCTGTGACATTTAAAATGTCATTTCCGCTTAGGGTCTGCAAAATTCTAACTTTTAGGCATCCTTTCCTACTACATTTCGTGTCCCCAACAGTTACAACTAATTGATTGGTTGTTTAAAGATATTTATATAAAAATCATCATGTTTCATGGCTCCCTTCAGCAAGCAGCACAAGCTATTCTGAGAATTGCTACAGAAGTGCTGTCATTGCAAATACATTGTATTTAGCCAGCATTTTTTGTCATTAATTTCACAATTTGGTTTTTTAAAGGCTATTTTTTAATTGAATTTGAGGTTATGTTGCATAATGGACCAATCTTACAGATACTTTTTATTTGAATTATTTACTTTACCAGCAAAGCTTAGTATTGTGAATAAACCCTATTCGCTTCCATAGCAGTTCAGTTTGCTTTTTACATCAGAGCAATTATAGCAAGCAGCACTGGGCAGATCAGGCTGTAAAGCAAGAATAGTAAGGGCAACATGGAGCCATCTGCCCTCGCAGGGAATATACCTCATTCCATATATGAAAATGCTGTTCTGAGGGGCAGCCAGAAGCTCCTTACTGGATCTGCTGTGTTGTCTGTGCAGGCAGTGTGCCTGCAAAGTCAAAAGATGCCATCCAGGCTCTGCAAGTCCTGACTCTCCCAGAGTATCTGGTGCATTACCATGTGCTCCCAGTCTTTAAGGCTGCTGCATGGAGAGGCCATGGGAGGAAAGAGGATTATGGCACTTTCCTAGTCTTTTCTTCTTAGAAAATGATGCAGACATAGACATTGGTGTCCGTGAAGAGTTATGTGACCAAAATATGAAGTATGAGTTACATCATGCAGTGCATATAGGAATATATCAGAAAACAGGAAGGTTTTCCTAGAGCTGTGGTCCTGCAGTCTACTTCAACAGATACAATGTCCCCCACTGCCTGAAGGGACATTCCCAGGTTCTGTCCTTACCCCTGGGTCACCACTTACATTCATTTGATCATGCAATGAGCTAAATCAGGACCAAATTCAGCTGAAAACTGTAGTGGCCAGGGAATAAGTGATACATTTTCAGCTTTATTAGTTTCCCGATCTGCTATGAAAGCTAGTGCAGAAACTCAGGTCTTCTCATTCCAGCCATAGCTCACACATTACATGGGCCTAAAGGAATCCAAACTCCACTCTTGGTGCTGCATCATCTATCCTATCTGCATCTGGTCTTCCACATCTGCAAAAGGGTGGGCAGCTTTTTGACGAGGTCTGTCAGGTGCTGGCAGTGACCTCAGAACGGGTTCTGAATGTCCTGGGTATGATGTCTGGTGGGGAGCAGGAGTGCTCTCCTCAGCCTGTCAGGCTACATGAAACTTTGTGAGGAGCCAGGTCCAGCCTTGGCCCATGGCAGATACTGATTCCTTCCAGTGTTTTTACAATGAGGGAAGGTAATAAGTGAGTTGTTGGCTTCACTTATATGTATTTTCACAAATCCAGAAATAAAACAAATATTCCAGGGTGCCCTTTGGCACTCCCATGGGTGAACAGGCAGGACCAGATGGGTCATGGTTGCCTCGTGGGGCTTTTTCTCAGCGTGGCTACACGTGCCCTGTGTCCAGAGGCTATCACTGCACATTGTCACCAATGTGTTTGAGAGGGAACAGTTGAGTGTGCTGGTCCTGCTGCATCATTTAAGAGTCCTCTAATGATTGTGAAATCCAGTACATATCTGAACTTTAAAACATTTTAATTCAAATACATAACATCTTATGAAATGATACTGTAGTTACAGTTTCTCAAATTAGAAGTAGATGAGCTTAATATGTTTAAATATTAATAAAGCTTACACAATGGTGCTGGATAACAACTTTAAATTATTTAATTGGCTCTTTTTTTTCCCTTTTCCTTATAGTTTAGGTTAGTTATGCTTCATTCAGAGCAGAAGCAAAAATCTTGGTATTTTAAGTGCATTGCTGGCATGCTTTGTTAGATTCCAATAAAGCTTTATTTAATTTGACACACCGTGGTACTCAGGGACCTTTATCTACATCCATTATATGAATTTTTGTCAAAATAATTTCCTCTGCCAGTATATTACCAATATTTAATAATGCATTCTGTTCAGTTTTCATTTTAATTAAATAAAATTGCAGCAAGTTGAAGTCCTGGAACTCAGGATTATAACCATCTGCTTTTAGTTTTGTTAATACTATAAACATCTATATTTTTCTTGAGGGTTATTGACAGCAGTGATCACATAACCAGTTAGAGAAAACAAGACTTTCTGAGCATATTTCCACACACAAGTGGTTCTGTTTAAATTCATTGGAGAAATGTTTGCTGGTGTGTTTCTAGTCCCTAAGCCCCTCACAAGAGTCCATTTTCTCAAAATAACAACTGAGATGGCAAAGTAACATTTTTTGTTCTGAATAAGAAAACATCCTGTGGATGTTGACACACAAAACTGTGGTGCTAAAGTCTGTGTTCCTTTATGATTTAACATATGAAAAGGATTTCATCAAATCCTCTATTAATCCTCTGTGATTCCATACAGATTCCATCTTACTCTTGCAAGCCCTATAATCCCACACATCAGCACCAAGTGGTCTGCAAGGATGAACCCTTCAGGGGTGAATGTAAACCAGCTCTCCAGCAGCCCTAGGCCTTCCCTGTTTATGACTCTACTTGGTACTTTGGTTGAATTCATTGTTCAAGGAAGATAGATGCTGATAAGTATAAATATTTCAGGAGAGGTTGGAGAGGTTACTGTCCTGGTTAATCATATCTTTTATTTCTTACTTGTATTTTTGGCAACAACCCTTAAACTGTTGTTGCTGGCACTACTAACCAATTGTTGTTAATTCTTCTAAAGAGTTGTATGAAAAGAATAGGGGTTTGGTATGGATGATTTCAGTAGGCCTTTTGAAATCCACTTGAGACTGCAATGAACTGTACTTGCTGGCTGATAATGTCCAAAACTATAGTCACTACAGTTTACCTTTATACAATGAAATCTCAATCACCTCAAAAAAGTGCTATAAATTAATTTGACCAGAAAGTAACACTCCACAATGAGGGTAAGCTAAGATTTTAATTTCACTTACAAAATTACAGTTTTCTAAACCTGCCCCTAACATAATACTTATTTTTCAAGCAGCACAGCAATCACCCTGTTGACTTTACAATTACTATTCTTTGCCTTGATTACTTTGCAATGACTGACAGAAAATTTTCATGGATGGTACATCAGGACCTCCATTAGATGTGTCAGGAGACCCTGCTTTAAGTTCACACAGATATTTCTTTTTGAAGCATTAGTGACTTTCATGAATATGTGTCACTATACATAGAAACATGGTTGTAGACACACACAAAGTGAGTCTATCTCCACATGTCTCTCAGTGAGGAGAAGGAACAAAAAGGCAGCTGTGCACAATAACTCTTGAGAGCAGAGAATAGTGAACTTCTAAGGGTGTTTGACAGCTCAGAAACATCAGCTATAGGCAGGGAATAGCAGATGCTTTACAGTGTTAGCTATAGTACTGGTTAACCTGCCACAGTGGATCCATTGGCACAGATTCTCAGATGATGTAGATTGTTATGCCTCCCTCGCCCCAGCTCTCAGCACGGTCCCTTCCAGCAGCTGATGAACTGTCCTGTGGGTCTGTAACAGGTCACTGAGCCAGGCTGAGGGACTGCATTATAGAGATTTGCTCTTTTCAAGTGCACACAACTGACCCGGGATTGAGCGTGTTAAGCGCATGACTGGAGTAAAGATGCTAACTCGTAGGTGGCAAGTGTGAGGTTGCTTCACAGGAAATATCTGCCCTTTATTTCTCTCTGCATTAACACCTAGAAAATAGTGTGTTTGGTTACTGAACCTTGATGACTCATCCCAGCACAGGATGTTGCTGTTCTGGAAGAAGTTCCATGTCCGCACTTGGGCACTCGGCCCAGAGAGGTACCCAGAAGCATTTCTGATGTTGGTCATAGGAGCTCCTGTAACAGAAAAATTGGACAGAGTGACTGCTGGACCCTCAAACCAAAACCTGTAATGTTTGAAACATACAATATTTACAGTGCTTAAGGAGATGTGATTTTTACAACTCAGAGTTTAGCTGCAAAAACAAGTCCTTTCTGCTAAAATGGTGAAGCAGCTCTAGAGCTGTTGCTGTAGGGAACAGCTTTCAGTTTGCCATAAAATATTTATCTTACAAACAAAATTGCTCCCTGCTAGAGCTGGTCAAAATATTTCAATTGCATCCCATAATGGAATTTAGATGGTTTTAAAACTATTTATGGTTTAAGTAAAATATACCTAAAGCTGCTACATAGAAAAAGTGAAAAGGAACTTTAAATGTCAGAAAACTGTGAGGTTCTTTTATTTTGCATCTTAAAATATTGTTAAAGACATCTATATTTTATAAAGGCTGAACTAAGTAATTCCTAGGTCAGATTTGGGGATTTGTTGTCAAAACACTAGTCTTCCTTTATGGATGAGTTTCACTGAAATCTAACAAGGTTAATTAAAGGAGATAAATACCCTTTTTGAAAAAGGTTGGTATATTAGAGATACCAAAACTTTGAAGAGGTTCTTTTTTTTTTTTTACTGAAGTACTAAAGTAAAGAGGGTCTGGTCAGTTTGAATGCCCCCAAAATCCACCATCATTAGGGAAATTCAAGACCTTCAGCAGGGCTTTTGGCCATCTGTAGAGGGGAACCATGTGATGTTCAATGCTGTTAAGATAAATATATAATTCCAGAAATGTGCAGCTTGTCAATCCATTTCTGCCTAACTACAGTTTTTACAATTAGCAAACAAATTAAAACCAATTTGTTTTACCGTGGATTCTTTTCTATTTAAGCTGTTATTCAGGTAATTAGCAGAAATGTACTAAGCAATCAAGTCCGGAATCACTGGAGGAGATTTAGACTCTTATGAAATCCCTAACTGATACAACAGACAATTTTTTGCTTTGAAGCAGTAATAACTGTAGCTGTAACAACATACTAATCTCTTAAAACCTTTTTTTTTCAAAAAAATACCATTCAACAATAGCAATCAGGCAGTAGAAAATTAGTGGCATCATTACCTGACAGATGAATATCAAGACCTGGAATGAAAAACTGCCTAGCAGTTCACAGAGGAAAAGGTAGACTGAGAGATCTTTAATTATTTGTTTGCAGTGTCGGTGGGATATGAATATGAAACATGTCCTGATTTTATTCTGTGGGAGAAGAGAACAGTAATCCTTCAAGGCTTTGAAATGGATGCTTCAAATCTGGGCGGCTGGTCTATAAACAAACACCATGTATTAAATCCACAAAGTGGTAAGTCCTTCCTTTATTAACCAGCCACGCAGAAGTAGAATACAAATTTTAAAGGAATTAATTGTTCAGATTTTAAGCATTACACTTCCCAATGTGTAATCCTCTTTGAATGTGCACCCTCGTTTATTGAGAACTGAACTGTAAATGCCATCTGAAAGGATATTTTTAATATTCTGGCTCCCAGGTATTAGACATTAATATCACTGACTCTCACAATTTCTGACACAATGTGATCGTTTGGGTGGGAAAAGGGCATACTAATTTAGGTTCATTATCACATGGCTGGTATAGAAGTGCTACATTTTGAGTCAATTTGTTGTGTGTGATGCTCTCAATGAAGTGTCTACACCCTCAATTCATCCTGTGACTACCATCAGTTAGTAGCATCACAGCCCCAGGGAGACAAACCCTGAAGGAACAGCGATGGGCCAAGTGAGAGGCAGCACTTCAAAACCAGTGTGCAGAAGCTTTTGTGGCTGCCCACTCTGTCCACTCTGTGGAGAAGCACAGTAAGTTACTCCTCAGTACAAGCAATCCAACACTTTTCAAAGCATTAGGAAAAAAACTACTGTAAGTTCTTTTGGTGTCATAACATTAACTCTGCAAAGAGATTCTTCAAGCATGGAGACTTGAATATCTTCTCCTATTGCTTTTATTTTATAACTAGGGGGATTTCTTTTCCTCCATTAACATTATGATCAGGAACTAGTAGTGGCATTAAATTATTAAAACAATACTTGTAGATAAATTATAGTAACTAGAGAAATATGGGTTTGCCAATAAACAGGTATCTTGCTGTCCAGGAGAAGAGAAACTTGGGGTTAGATTTCAGCACTTCTAAATCATCAGAGTATTGGATTCAGTAAAGTTCTCAATTTGCTCCAGCTGAGAGTCAGTCCACTAAAATCTATTTCCATCTGCAAACTTCTGTTGATGAAGATTCATGCACAGATGTATGGCTCTCAGGTTTTACAAGTTCTATTGCTGACTGTGCAGCTACAGTATAAATATTCCAAATACAAAGGTCAGATTTAGTTTGTAAATTATCTGGATTTCTGTTTTGATTTAAAATAGTTTGACATTTTAAACAGCAGTTCTTTCATACCCTGTCTTATTGGTTTGTATAGATTGTCTCTTTTAAATGCCAGCTATTGACATTTAACACAAAGAGAAATCTGACCTCAGTCAGCTGAGCCCCCAACTGTGAGCCCCATAGTCTGCTCCTTAGTGCCAATTTACCACTTGCATAGTTTAATTTCAAGACTAAATTGCTGGCAGTAACTCCAATTTATATGACTATCTGCTAACTGCAGTGGTTACTACTATAATTCACCCCATAGGCACTAACATGTTCTGAGATTTTGTAAAGTATACAATTATAATCTGAGCAGGGCTAAATCATTGCTTTCCTGAGCACAGGGTATGTGGTGACAAATTGCTTCCTGTCCCCGTCTCAGCTGTGTGGCTGAGAATGCCAGAGAGCACTGACCTGTCAGCCTCATGCCACCTCCTCTCAAATCATCTGGGCTATGCCTGCTACATGGATGGAGAGTGTGCAGTTTCTTATGCCTGCTCCTCTTCCTCATATATTCCCACTGTGCTGGACATGATCACAGCTGAAGTCGGGGGGAAGCTGCCAAATATCTGTATTCATCACTTGCAGAGGCACAGTCTGGGAAGGGGAGGGCATAAGTACATCTGACTGGAAATCAGAGGGTCTCTCCTGCTTGCAGTTTGCATGTGAGAGCATCTCCAGAGAGGGTAACAAAGCCCAGGCAGAGCTTAGTGATGTCTCAGATATTCCTTGTGATTATAATAGGCTTTGAGCATGCACACCTGGCTCATGTAGAAGAACCAGAAAAGCAGTTAAGGGCAGAAAAACAATTACTATAGCAAAGCTAGTCCACACCAAACAGAGCAGCCTGTAGGCTCACATTAAAGCAACAAAACCAAGTAATGAACTGTGTTAACCAAAAGGATAAAAATAATGAGTGTGTTTCTGGTCTTATCTAGAAACAAATGAACTGCTCTTCCATTTCAGATATATAAAATGGGCTTTAAATAAGGACAAGAATATGATTCAAACATAGAATTGTAAATTTCAGACTTATCTCCCTGCCACCATGAGTGATAGGTAAAAGCATTGAGAAGCCTTCTTCAGTAAGAATATACTGAGATTTTTCACTTTTAATTAAAGCATCCCCTCTGTATGGATGAAGAGCTGCTCTTTTTAGAAGGATCAAACTTGCATGTTTTTGAAACACTGCCACTGGATTAACTACAGAAACAGCATTAAAATACAACATTCTCTATTGCAAATTGTAATTTTATTTTCAAACTAAAATGAGAAGCACTTTGCTTGGTTAACTAGTCCCGAAGAGCTTATATCTAACTTCAGCCACTAAGCCTGGTCTCCCAGCAGGTCTGCTGCTCAGAACCAGGGTAGATATTCTCTCCCTTCCCATGAAGGCTACTCATTTCAGAGGTGATGCACAGTAAACTAAGTACAACAGATAAGTTGTAAAAAGAAACAGATGCAATTTTACAGACTTGCACTTCATAGCCCTCTCTAAGCTGTGGAGGTACAAGTACTGACATGCCGAAACCTTAGCAAGTGAAAACCATGTTCTACTGCCAGATGTAAGGATCTTTAAAAAAAGAAATAATAAAATAAAAAAGATGCCTGATTCCAGCAGCATAGATGTGAAATAGCAAATACTGTTCCAGTGTGGCTGTCACTGCATGCGATTTCTCATCGGTCTAGCTGTTAGGTTAACAAAGGATCGCATCCTGTTCTCAGCTATACTCCACTGCTCTTTTCCCACTTTTTTCCCCCTCCTCCAGTTTAGAGGTTTGATCACTTCTAATTTGTGACATGATCAGAGTTTAATGTTTTCTGGTACAAAAGTTTAGGTCAATTTGGAAGATCTTCAGGGCATTTCTCATAATCAAGAAGAGAACAGATACCATAAATGTTAGTTCCTGCATAGTGTCCTTTTAAAGACACCTATATCTCATGAATACAAATGAATGTGCTATTAACTGATTTTTCAGAGTATTTTTTGCATTAACTGATGGGCAAGTGTGTTGATTCCATTTTTGTTTATCTGGGGCAAGGAAGAGTGATTTTACAGGGACTTTATGCTTTAAGGTAATTTCAACCCCAGAGCAGCACAGCATCAACTAAAATTAAAGCAGCAGCTCGAAAGCCTGAAATTAAGCACATGCTTGCATTTATTGACAGCAAAACATATTCTCCAGAGCCCTAATTATTTACTGGCATTTCTATGAGGCTGCGGAAAGATTACCTTTACATTGTTAGTTTCAGACAAAGGGCAGCATCTTCATTTCACAGTATTTTTATCTGGTGCATAAGGCAAAATATTCCTATTCATTTTACTGGCATATTTCCAGGATGTTCTTTTTTTAATCCAATATTCAAACAAATCTATGTATTTTGTATTTTCCTGTTGTTCAGAAATAATTTTTTACAAATATCAATCCCTTCAAAGTAGCTATGGTAACACTCAGTAATTTCCAAGGTGAAGTTTAGCTTCAGATTTGTCTGAAAGTCACAAGAAGTATTTTAAACAAACGTTGATAGAGACAATACATAAATACGTTTAATAGAATCATAGAAATAAGAGATTTTGGACTGGAGTCTGAAAGAATACTTATCTTCCATTCAGCAATAGCCAAATTCTTGCAATAACATCATTAAGAAACTTCTTAAATATATTACCATATTGTTACTTAAAATAAACACTACAGCTATCAGCTTGAGAAAATACATCTTAGTACTGTACTTTGTACTTGTTCTGTTGTACCAACCTAGTAATTGGGAAGACTTTTAACAACATATGCTGCAGAGCAGTGCTAAAATACTGGTATACTGGAAAGTTGTTTTGGACTTTATGGCAGAACTT